CATTTTCAATTGTTGAAATATATTTTTATAGATACTTGTTAATTGTTGTACTGATTTAAATTCCATTTCCCTTCTTCATAAGACAAAATGACAAAATATATGTGGGACAGTGAAACATCTCAGTAGTTTTGTAGATAAATTGTCTCTTAAAATTCTGGATAGTTATTAAACTATTGTTAAATTTGTGTAAGGTTTTAACTTGTGTATTATATTACAAATGTTTATTTTTTAGCACATATCTTTGTTTGAAAAAATCATGAAATATTACATATCTATATGACATGTAATATAACAATTTTTTCCAAGTCAAGCCCACAAACTTGCTGTTGTCATTTGTTTAAAATTTCATTGGGAAAGTTTGATATTTTAGATATCTTAGTGATACTAGTATTAAGATTCATGAAAAATTCCAAAGTCTTTTAAGCATCACAATTATTGAAAAAAAAACAATGTTTGAAAAATACAAAATGGTTACTCTGTGTGTAACCATTGACTTACAGGGATTTAAATGTGATGTTTAAATTTGTCATGAACTCAGGAATTATACCTGAAAAGGTTGGTAGAGAGTTGTGAAACACCTGATATAAATATACAGTATGTGCCAAAATAAACAGTAGCGAAACTGAATAAAATATAACAATTGTCAATTTCTGCTGTTTATTTTGGCGCATACTGTATGAATAAAATAAAAAAAAAAAAAAACTAAAACTAGTATGGAATATCAACATACAACGATGCAGTGACTTGGAATCATCTTCAACTGACTTTGGTTACTATAGTCTGTTAACAAAATTTAAGTGGTTTAAGGGGAATATTTCCTGGAATTACCCACCAATTTTTTAGCCAAATTTCATAGTTGTGGCGGTTGTTTTATTGTTAGGGTGAAGTGGAGGTGAAGGAATCGCTTCCCCTCAAACCGCATAAGTTTTGAGAATGGACTATAGTAATTCTATATGGACCGATATCTTCACATATATCTAGATATAATCTCTTACTTTGTGGTGAGATTGCAATCTAACTTCCTTGGACCGAGTAACTGACTTTTTGGGTGTGGTCTTAATTATTGTTTGTACATGAAGCTTATAGCCTCATGCAGCCTAGCAGGTGACTAAACTTGAAGGTCGGGCTGTCTTCAGCCTTGGCCTCTTGTCGGTTGAACCTTTAGAGGATTTTACAATTTTACTATACAGCTAGAAGAGTATCTCCTGATGTTATCTGTATTTTTTCAACATAATATTAATCTTAACAGGAACATTTAATTTTGTGTAAATAATCAAACTTGAGGTCTTCCAGTGGTCAAAAACTCAACAAAAAATATGTAATGTTGGCCCACAGACTTCTCTATTTTCACCCCACGCTGTAAATAAAACATGTGAATTTCTTCCGTTGGTTTTGATTTTCTGTTTATATTTCAGTGTTATTTCGTCATCAGCATAGCAACCCATAAGGACCATGTTGGTTTTTTTTTTTAATTTTTAAATTCTTTTTTGAGCCTATTTTAATTTATAAAGGGATTCTGCACATATACAGGAAAATATCTTTCTAACAGTATGAGTAAACTTTCCCTGCGATGCAAACGAGCTGAGAAAAGATTTTTCAAGAAACATGCTTGCCTATTAACATATAGATGTAAATTAAACCTTTCTGCTGGAAAAATATTTTTTTATCTTAAAATAAAAATTTTTTAACTAAAAGCCAAATGATACCTCAATCACAAATTTGAGTCAATTTTTTATTTAATAATCTTCATAAATATATTGCAAGTCCTATGCCTTTCTTGAAATAAATAAATTACTCTTCGTATTGGAGAGTTAAGATGGTAAAATGGACACAAGACTGTTATGGTGGTACTAAATGTGAAATAAAAAAAAAAAAAAAATATGAAAAGAGGAGACTTGGAGACTATTGAAAACATCACAAAATAATAACTTGAAATTGCAAACAATACTATCATTAAACAAACAAAAGGTACATGTTAAATTTAGAAAGGTTAAATGACCTTGGAATAAGTGTATATGAATTAAAATTGAGTATTGCGTTATTTTACTTTGTTACAATTATTCTACAGGTAGTATGCTAATTGTTTGACACCCTCCAACAGTCCTAACATATCTTTCTATTATTTATTGATGATTCTGTCCAAAATCTTATATCGCCAAGCAATTTTCTTGATTCTCTTTCCCACCCCCCCCCCTTGTGAGCGCCCATGTACAGATTACAACTGGGGATTTCAAAGATTACAACACCTAACACAAAACAACAATCCAGACCATATGTAGGAGGAACTGTAGGTTAGATCAAGGTCAAGAGTGTAGGCAATATCCGGAATAACCTTCAGCTGGGAGGACATTGAACTGGCCTGAGTCTGACCAACACAGAAGCAGAATATTCCATACAACTTTTTTTAAATTCTGATCAATTCACCTTAGAAGAGAGTGAATAACAAACAACAATACACAGTTTCTAAATATGTCAAAGTACCCAGCACAAGTGTAAATTTATGTTACATTTTTAGGTTAATGTATTTAAAATTTAGTTTGCAAGTTTAGTGGTACTGTAAATCTTACTTTATACATGCTACGTTTTTGCATCAAACGTCAATCTGTCATTGGACTTTTAATAAATGGGGGTAAAGAAACAGCTGGTCTTTGTGTGCAAGATTTTTCAAGTAACCTCGGTTAGGAAACCAAACCTACGGTGCAGTAACCAATATATTTATGTTAATGTTAATAAACCAAAATAATACATGAGCATAGTTTCTTGACAACGTGTGTGTTAATGTTTAAAGTTAACGAGAGGTCGTCCAGTGGTCGAAACTCGACCAAAAATATGTAATGTAAACTTACTCACTTCTCTATTTTCACCCCACACTGCAAATAAAACATGTGATTGGAGTTTCTTCCATTTGTTTTGATTTTCTGTTTATATTTCGTTGTTATTTCGTCACCAGCATGGCAACGCATAAGATCCATGTTATTTTTTTCAAATTTTTAAACTCATTTTTTGTGCTTATCTTTGAGCCTATTTAAATTTATAAAGGGATTCTGCACACCTACAGGAAAATAGCTTTCTAACGGTATGCGTAGATTTACCCCACGATGCACACGAGCTGAGAAAAAAGGTTTTAAAGAAACATGCTTGCCTATTAATATATAGATAGATAGATAGTTCAAGAACTTTTTATTTTGTTGTTTGTATTGTGTTTTTGAAGTTATTAATGTGCAGTACACAACAAGGCAAACAGCAAAATAAAAAGGTAACTTGTTAAAATTGTTGATAAATTAAAGCTTGAGATAATGTCTTTGAACTGATTGTTATAGACATTTTAAAATACAGGTTTCAGGTTGCGATTTACAGTTCGAGCACTACAATTATTCTGGACCCTGAGTTGATTGGCAGCCACGAAATGTAAGAAAACTTCCTTGCAAAATCAGAGTGTGGTAAAAACACTGACCTTCTATCAACATGTATGTGCACAAAGTGTATGTGTGCATACAAATATAAAAATAAAGACACAATACTGTATATATATTTTTTTATATAATTCATAACCTGTTTGTTTGTTTTAATTAATAAGTGCATTCAGTTATTGGGTTTTTGGATAGTTTTTGTGTTGAAAATTATAATGTATATGATATATTTTTTAATATATCATTTGAATTTGATACATATATCAAAAATTAAATATTGAGTACTGTACTAAATGGGGCTATAAATAATTGATTCATGAAAAATATACTTTACCTTATTTTGTATTGTACCTAGATACGTTGTTTTATAGCCATTCAAGGACCACTTCCTAAGAGAATTTTATTTTATATACAAAATTAATCACTACAATATTTTATGAACATATTACTGCATTTAAAAGTACCTATAATGATTTAAACAATAAAACCTAAATGTTCTTTTATATCGGTCAAAAAAGTAATTCAAATAATGTTTAATTTTACATAATTTGATATTTAATGTATAAGCTTTTACGTTTTATACATTTACATTTTTATAACAACAATAATGCACACAGGTACCTAATTAATCAATTACATTGGTTATTCCTGAATCAAGTACAAGAAAAATTTAATCAATATTAAGAGTTTCTCATTTTCACATATTTATAAAACTTGTTTGATAAACAGGAAAATAATACTTTTTCTGTTGAATCCTTCCCTTACGTTTTATATTGTGGTTTTTTCTGGAGTTGTTAAACAATATTCTTTTCATCAAACAATTAACTGAAGAACAAGAACTAGTAAGTGTATGGTTTACAGCCAATCTTTTGTCAGTAACTGTAAGCTACACGGATAATCTCACTCCATTCTACACCCATTCTTCACTAATCTTTTGGTTAAAATACACACCTAGCTAGGTGGTGTTACCATCTCAATTGGTAATATTATAATTTTTACTTACTACTTACATACTTATCGCACATTAATACTTGATTTTAAAATACACTCGGTTGCAGCCTCATCTTAGACAGCAGAGTTTAAAACATGTGTTGTAAAAGCTTACAACAATCCTTTTATGTTGACATTTGCAGCAGTTTTCATGTTTACAAAACAAATATTATTTTCCACAATTATCAATTATCAATCATTAAAATGGGGACGTCACTTAGGCGCGTATTTTAACCCAAATATGAGTGAAGGATGAGTGTAGAATGGTGTGAGATGATCTGTGTAGCTTTGTTACTGACTAAGATCAGCTGTTTCATTAGCCAGGATCATTTATTTAAAGCCCAATAGAAGCTGGAAACATGTTTACGACACTTGTTTTATGTTGTGTTTTCAATTGAATGTTTACAATTTTTTTTGGCAACCAACGTTGTTTTGAACATTTTGCTGCAAACTCCAGGAACTGCTTTAATTGGTAATAATGCAAGATCATAACAATAAATAAAGTGTATCATATCACCTTTGGGCTTGGAATTCTCTAGATATTTTGTTAATACAATAATTGATTTTCATGCACATCCTGGACAGTTCCGGAGGGCGTTAGACGTCCTAGCCCGCTGCAAGGTCGGGCGGGGCGGAGCCCTATATAAGGTAGGCCAGCGGACACCTAATGTATTGTAGTTCCCTTGTACCAAGTGGAAGACATCCCAGATCTATCAACATGCAGGTAAAAACTTTTGTTTGTAAAAGAAATCCTAATACTAAAAAAAATATAGATTTAATAGAATCTCAAGAAATAAGTCCATATGTTTTATTTATAACATCTGTCAGATGACTGTTTATATTATTATGTTTTGTTTACTTTTTAGTTGAGTCTGAATTGTGAGTTCAATACATCTGGTTTTGTTAATTGTTTTGGTTTACTAAACTACTGGCGACGATGGGATACCGTTGGCATTATTAATTCTGCAAGCGATTAAAAAAAATCAAAATTGTGCGAGTTTGACAGTTTGCAGGATGACGGGAGAGGGCTCAAATTAAAGGTCTTGGTCCCAGGGGTCAGGAAAATAGCAGATTATGTCCACATCTACCAGAAAATAAGAAATGACAAAAAATATTTTCCATTTAAAATTGGGATTTAAAAACTTGAGCTTTGTTTATACATTAGACATCTGATTACAAATGTATTACCATTTTTATCCTACTTTTAATTATGTTGATAGAGTTTGTTAAGTTTTACTCATTAACAAATAATTTAGATAAAATTTTGCTTTTACAAAAGTGATCTAAAAATGATTAACTTACATTTTTAGAGCTGCTCGTGAAATATCATTTGATCCTTAGGTTGATTAAATACTGGTATAAGAATAATTTGTTTTACATTTGAGCTTTTTAGGGACTTATGTCCCTATATGCCACTACTAGAAATAACTTATATATTACCTGTACAATTTTTTTTCAAAAACATTTTAAAAATAAATTTTTTATATATTGGTTTTCTTATGGCTGCAATGTCAAGAATTTCTTCTCAAACAAATAAAAATTAGTATAAAGAAAAGTTATATTAAAAATAACTGAAGCTGGTTTAGCTATAATATTGACAACATTGTACACTTAATCAAATTACTTAAAAAGTAAAAGGATTTATTATAAGTAACATTTTTATAGGCTTGAGATTTGTTATTTTTTCTAAACAACAAATGCAATTTATAAACTTTTACTCTGGTTTTACTCTGGCAAAAATGTCATAAGTTTGGATCAAAAATTCAATTCTAAATCAATGCGTCATTTTTAAATACGGTATACATTTGCACTCTTTAAAATTGTATTCTTTAAGATATTACTGTAAAACAAACCTTTATTGCTTGATTTAAATAGTGCACATCCTCAACTACTTTAGCTTTGTAATCTGTAAGAAAATCAGCAAAACTGTTGTATAAAATAATATGAAACTTCATAAACAAAGTAAACTCAGTCACTAACAAACTCATGGTTAAAAGTAATATTGTCTGACTACCATAGCCCAATATCTAAATGCTACTTAAATTATACAAATCTGAAATTACCTTATATTTTTTCAATATTACTTCACAATTAATTATCATAATTATTCACATGATGTATTTGGAACTAAAGTTTAAAAATGGCAGACATTTTAATTTTCAAAATTTAAATTACAAGAAAATAGCTGATTGACTTTCTATTAAACAACACCAAGTTAAAACAGATTGAATAATAAATAGCTCGACCACAGACCGAACTTGTGTCCGATTTTTATGAAATATGGCAAGCCAGCACTAATCCATAGCGCATCTCCATACGTTTTATTACTTTTTTGAGATCTATTTTTATTGGTGATTTTCCCATGAAAACCACCAGTGTGAGTATATATTGTCTGCAAAAACGGCTCTTTTAATTTAAATTCAGTATGTTACAGTTCTTTTTACCTTGAACCAAATGGCACAAATCCCAACCCTGTAACAGTTACTGTTATTGTTTACTCCAAAGTATATTGCAATTACCATTAGTTTTACCTGTCAACAAAAAATAATTTACAGTTTAAAATATATTTTCCCATAAAAGTAGTAGGATGTTTAATTTTAATGTTATTGCGAGAAAATACACAGTTTCCTAATAAGATTTATTTAATTGCCCAGGTTGCCGCCTCTCTCGTTCTCCTGGCTTGCGTTGCCGCTGCCTCTGCCGCCCCTGGATACCTTGCCGCCCCCGCCCTAGTCCGCACTCCTCAGTTCGACTCTGCTGTCATCAAGAGTGACCGCCTGGGTGGTAACTTTGCCTACAGCACTGTCGAAGCTCAAGCTTACGCCGCAGTTTCCCCTGTTGTTTCCCACGTTGCTACCCCCGTCGCTGTCTCCTACCATGCCACCCCTCTGGCTGCTCCTCTCGCCCCAGTGGCTCCCATCGTCCCTGCGCACGCCCCTGTCTACAGCTACGCTGCTCACGCCCCTGCCTACGGCTACGCTGCTCACGCCCCTCTCGTCCTATAAACCGCCACCACCTCTGTACAGATTGTAAATTATTTAAAATAGATCTGGATTTTTATAAATGGAATTTTATTTCCCACATGGTTTCTGTTTATTTAAGTGTAGTTGGTATGTTTTGGGAGCAGGACTGGTCAAGGTTTGTATAGTGATGGTATTTTACGTTATTAAAATTACTGTATTCATTTTAAAAGAATGAATCAATTATCAATTCTTTGGCGAATTTGAAGCCTACAGTATGAGTTGCAAGTTGAGATTATCCGCTCTAATCTAAGATCATCTGCTTCAATGGTTAGGATCATTTATTAAAAGCCCAATGATGTAGGATGTTTAAAAATGGAGTTGTACATTGGTATGTAAAATAAAATAGGATGCTGGGCCCAGTTTCGAATCATAAAATCTACTAATTTTAACCTAGTTAGTGGCAAGTGGGGAGTGGGGCATGCACAATAAGCACCCTGAACACACAGTTGATGTGCCAGGACCCTGAATCCACCCCCCTTAAAAAATGACTTAGGAGGGCTTAATGCAATGCAATACTAACTTTAATAGAGTATTAAATTAATAGAGTCCAGTATGGACCCCTTAAAGCTTAAAAGGCAGTTGACCAGATCCCAAAATTAAGAGTACCTAAATAAATAAATAAAAGAATACCACCAATTACCATTGTACCTTTAAAGGTTAAAGGTTCTTTAAATGTTAAAGGTATTCTAAATAAACATCTATGAATGAACCTTGTTTCAAATTTGTTTTGGAAACATTTTATGTCTTACGCAATTTTTATTGAACCCAACAATTTTCAAAACATAGTAAACATGGTTTGGCTTATGCATATTTAAACGTGTCATAGGAAATTTAATCCAGTTAACTTATATTGTATCTTTAATCTTGGATACTTATAAGTGTAGAAGTGGTGTGTCTATGGTCATTTGTACTTAAAATAGGATCAGTAATGCCTTTGACTAAACAACATTGGTATTTAGTGTAGCAGTGTAGTGTACACTCTCCAGAGTTACATAAGGTTTGGTTAGCCAGGCTCAAGGTCGAGCTTCAGGAAGTAGGATCAGCTCTAAGCTGAAGCAGGGTCCAAGGTCAATGGGTGTGGTTGTGTGGGAATTATAAGTGGCTCTAGTAACTACCTCCATAACTGTACAATGTGCAGACACACCATGACTCATATGGGTGTATAGAGGGCCGGCAGAAAACTTCAGGGGCAAACATATGTTCCAGGGAGGAAGCTCTTCGCCTTCAACAATTTTTATTATTTTAATGTCAAACGCTAAAAACATATTTTGAGCTGTCCAAAAACTGAAATGATCTTTTAAAAAAATAAAAATAGATTTATCTATCCCTAAAAAGTATGTATGATGATTTTGAACTAATCAAACAAACATGCAAAATTGACATTATAAGTTACAATTAAATAATCACGCCTGAAGTAAATGTAGGTGAAACATATCTGTTCTACATCCAAACAAAAAGTATAATCTCTTTACTTATTCACTGATCACTGTTGCAAAAATGTATACAATTGATTTCAATATCTAATCCTTTTTGATAAGCAAGGTCCGATTTTGATTAAATTAGGTACATTTGTGAATACTTTAGCATGATCTCCACTGTTATTTTCATACATTTTCACATTTTGATTGTTAATGGCGATTTTCCTATTAAAACCAATAAGGTATAAAATACCAGTTAAAAAATGTTTCTATTGATTTTGATTCAAATTTAGTATGTTATACTCCTTTTGATTTTGAACGAAATGGCACCAGTCACAATGCTGTAAATAACAGATCAAAAGTGTAGTTACATTTTTTGTGATTTCTCCCCAAAAATCGCCCCCTTTTTTACACGATTTTGTGCCAAGCTAGAACTGGGAGAAAGTATGTGTCGGTTTGCCAATACTGTTTATTAATTTTGATTTTTAGTTTACAAACACTCAAATATTTTTCACCCCGGTCATGTATATTGATTGTGTACTGGGAGTGAGAAGTAAAATTTTTTAATTTTTGTTAATGAAGTTTTTATTTACAATCTGTTCTAATTTCTTTTATACTCTTTTTGTTTCATATATACCTTTATTGTTTTATTTACAACAATAACATTGTAACTAAACTCCAACAAGTGCACTAACATAAACATTTATAATAAACTTAACTAAAAACTATTTGGAAGGTGGATTGATGAATTCTAAGCCTATATGTAACTATTAAGCCTCTGCCAGTACCTATATTAATTGTGTAGTGGGAGTGGGAAGTACTGTGCAATGATAGATAACCAAATACAATTTACAAAACCACAATTTATTTTACAATATTCAGGTCAACTTTGAAGTAAGCTCAGGCACAATTTTGAACAAGTCGTCACAAATTCCAAAGTCAGAAACTTTGAAGATCGGTGCGTCCGGGTCAGAGTTGACTGCCACAATTGTCCGGGAATTGATCATCCCTGCCAAGTGTTGCACGGATCCGGACAAACCAACAGCAATGTACAACTCCTGTTGACACCAAAAAAGTCTGTCATCAAACTAATATCTTTTCTACAATTAAGTTGTCTCCTAGATATTGTCCGCTGTTTTCAAATGTTATTTATTGATCATTAGTAACACTTTGTTTACCTGAGCTAACACTTTTGTTTATGATCCGAGGTCCAAAAATCAGCTGTTTATCTGCATTACCTTCACTTAACTCTCAAAACATGTGTTTATATGGTCCAAATTATTTGTCTTTATCAATTAGTTATATATTTACACAGATACTGTATAAAAGGTTTAGCAAATTTCCCACATAGGGAATAAGCTATTACCGTAGTACTCATGGTAAGACCTGGACCCGGGACCGATTTAATTTTTGTTTTTGAGGTCTCTAGAGGCCAAAAACACCATACATTTAAATTATTATTTTCCAACATAAGTTTTGCACGCTCTCAAATCTTTGCTTGTACCAATTATTTTTATGGCGCTTAGCTCGGTAATAAGAAAATGGCTGTTTCTTTAAGTCCTTGACTATGAATAGAACATTATATTCTCATGTTAAGGTTGTAGCCCGTTTTAGAGTAAATATAGACTACTTCAATATAGTGCCAATTCAGCTACACTGGATTCAATTGCGCCAGTTCAATTGAATACACTGATTTCAATTTAAATTACTAGTTATAAGTTACTGTCAAATATACCAACGCTAGAACCAATAAAATATATGTAGAGTTATCTTAGACAACAGCATATTTTTATCTAACATCTATAGATTCTACTACCTATCACAGAGACAAAAAATTACGAGAAAAGAGAACAATTTCAAGCAATAGCACTAGCACACTGTTGGGTGGTTCATTTAAATATGTCCTTTTTAGTAGCGGTACACAAGGCTACAGCACTGCAGCCAATCCATTTAGATGAAATGCCCCCGGACTTAATCAGTATCCAGTAGCATTGACTATTGGCAGTATTCAAAAGTGAATGATTTAAAATAAGTATAGGGTTTTTTGTTGATATGTTAACTTTTATTTTGCAAATACTGTTGGTGGTTTATCAACTGTAAGTCAGAGTTTTTTCATCAATCCTTACAACTATTTTCGATAACAGCTGATATCAAATATACTGTGTTTCCCAAGCTATGTACCGTTGTTGTTTCCCAATTAAGCTCTAATTTAGAGCAAGGGAAACCGATCAGCCGATTTTCCCTAGGCTAAATTTACTTTTGCTCGCCCTCGATTAGTTCTCCATTCATCCACTATGCGCGCTAGGGTTTTATTAAGTTTATTTTAATGATTAAAATCAGCTTTTCTCATTGTTAAACAATATAAATGTATACAACAGGCATTTAGTTTGTTTTGCTGTGTTTTAGCATAGTGCTTTTGCTTGAAATTGCTCAAAATGTGTCTAACATTCCTGATGATTTGATACCAGAGAAATCAAGGGAATGATATGAAAACTACAGAAAGTTTACAAACTGGTGCAAATTACAAAATTGTAAGTCAACTAAAGTAATAACGGAAAGTAGTTCTTAATATATAAATCAATATATTAATATTAATAAACAAAACCATATACTATATGATAAATAGGTTTACATATGTTATAAACCCGACAATCAGCTCAAACTTTACAGAATATTGTTTACATTTTTCGGCGTGTATCAGCTGTTGTCAAAACATTGCAGTTGATTTATAAGGTATGTAAACCTATTTATCATATAGAATATAACAGCTCAGGAGCTACAACGGAAATTAATTTTAAACCATACGTTGTGAAGTCAATTTTCAATGATAAAGAATGGTCCAAAAACTATTTTAATACTACTGAGGAATCTGTATGTGCGCATTTTTGCGTTGTGATGAAAAGTATTGTTTACAACTCGTACCCAAAGCTATTTCCGACAATTTCTCCATTGGTTGGTGAAAATAACTCTCACGTGCTCGGCTTCTCAGCACACTTAAAATTTGGTTTTCCTGAGTTCGGCTTTGCCTCACATATGAAACTTGAGCGTGCACCAGAAAATGTGACTTTCTTCATTTTTCGGAAATTTGCCTGCTTTCTTCATTATATTTTGTCGTGGTGTTTCCGGGCCAATTGATTGACAAATAAATAAAAGGTTAAAATACCTGATTGTCACCTTGCGGTCCAAAGTTTCTTCATTAGAATAACAACTGTTAACCTGAAATATACACTGAATTTAAATATATAATCAATGCTAACTCTATACTTACCGGAGCCACAACTTGGCCTGTCTGGCCAACTTGCATGTTGCTTGCAGCAAATCCCTCATCTACAGCAGCTCTGGTAGCTCCCACTGCAGCTTTCAGCTTATCAGCAAGATCGTAGAGTATTTTGAAACTTTCTTTGGATCCAACACCTTTACCTGAAGTGATAATTTGTATTAGTAGCAAAATATGTACTGTGTGCACTATTGTTTGGTTGTGACAACTTTATTTATAAGACTAGTATCTTTACTCGTATTTTGAAGTGAAGTTTGGATATATAGACTCTTTTTTAAAGTCCTTTGAAGGAACCAACAAAACATATTGCTAGAACCCCAATTTCAAATTAAAACTTTTATTTTAGTTTGCAAAGAAATATCATCTTTATATAAACATTTTTCTGATTGGCATTAGAGGGGAACTGATGGGGCATTACTGTTCATTAATTACAGAGATTATATAATAACTAAAGATGTCCTCAAATAGCACAGGAAAAGTTGAATATTGTTGGTGATCTAGTTTTTTTCCCAGAATATGCGGCAAATCACCTTATTGGTTGTCACCAATAAACACACAGACAGACAGGAATTAATAAGACTCGTGTCGGCTCTGAAGGTCTATGGTGGGCTAGCAAAACTTAAACCTACGTAATGAACAGACGAAACGTTATTTAACTTGTATTATATTGAAGTAGAAGTATATCATATATTTAAGCCCATAACATCTTTAACTAGGGAAACAATTTCTATCTAGTAGCAAAAAAATTAATTTTAACAATCAGGCCCACCAATAATGGGGGGCGGGCCAACAAGGAGCCAGTGCCGGGCTTGGTCTAAAATGTAGTAGGGAGTTATAAGTGAGTGGAGTGGGTCAGCGGCAACGATATCCAGGGGCCCGAAGATTCCTCTCTGCTGTCATGTTAACAATTATTAGATGTTGAACACCATTCAATTAAATGAACTTACCTCCACTTACGATGACCTTAGCTGATGTTAACGTTGGTCGGTCACTTTTTTCTAAAATTTGCTCAACAAATTCTGATGTTTTTGATGTGTAATCGCCAACTGGAGCTGCTTCTACTGAACTGCTTCCTCCTTCCGGAGGAACCGGGTCAAATTCAGTCGCTCGAATGGTTACTACTTTCACTGGGTCTTTTGATCTTAGTGTAAGTATTGCTTTGCCTGAAAATAGAAAAAATATGCCTGTAAAGACTTTTTGAGGCGGTGTATGGGTACATTTGACGATTTTAAAGGGCTTTGGTCAATAAACAGCACAAGATTGACTCATTTCATGATTTACTTTATAAAAATACTGAAAACTACCCTGTCAAATTAATAATTAAAGAGTACGTAAACCACATTGTCATCCAACTTCAAAGCATTTGATATGAATCACCTAGTAATGTTTACCTGCATAAATCGGCCTCTCAAAAGTATCTGGACTTTTAATCTTAATAACATCAGATATCGGTGAAACATCTAGTTTCGCCCCAACTCTAGGCAGTAAGTTTTTCCCAAAACTTGTCGCTGCAGCAAGAATGTGCGTAAATTTGAACTGGTTGTGAGAAGCCATCACTAATGGGGTGATACTTTCTGGCAAAAACCCATTGAACGCCGCATCGTCAGCGAGCAACACCTTTTTCAACCCGGGAATTTTGGAAACTTCTTGAGCAACCTGTAACATATATTATGCATTCATTGTAGTGATATTTACGCAAAAATACTTCTGTAGGCTCATTTAGAATACGCCAATATTATTTAAACCGTATTTAAATAAAAAAGTTCCTTTTTACCGAATTTTCCATATAGGGCCATATGGTAAGACCATCAGTACCCGGACCCGGTACATTAGGGGACCCGGGATCAATCATTTTTTTCAGTTTGACACAGCTGGTCTTAGTAACAAAGCTAAGCAATGTATTACAACTCCATATTGTTTGTATTAATTGATTTAACACTGATATTTGCTTTAAAACACACACCTATATGTGGTTTACCCATCTCTAAATGGTAACAACAAAACAATAATTAAAATTGTCATTCATTGGCCACTTTAGATTAATCTGCTAAACATTGTTTTAAATAGAAATAGAACTATATAATGGCTAATAAAAAATAGAAACATACTCCAATACATTTTGTTCCTGCGACCAGAACTGACAAGTCCCCGCCTAGATTTGCGGCGGCAGCTACCGCTCTTCTCGTTACAGTTGATAATGTTTCATTATTGTGTTCCGCGATCACCAACGTATTCAGTAGGCCTGATGATGACTGAATAACAAAACAGAAAATAATAGTGAGTCATTAACATGATTGTAGAAACGCCCACCTTTTCAGTGTTTAGTCACCGCTGACATGTGAGGCTCCGATCCAGTGCACTAAAATCCAAAGTGAAGTGAAATATATACATACTAAAATTAGAACTATACTAAAACTATTTTCTATATTACCATACTCAATTCAGTTTAAAGCTGTATTTGAAACTATTGTATTACACAACGATTTTCTATAATCTTTGAGTCCAATCCAAGAGAACAATGTATGGCTTTTATTTTTATATGCTGACTACTACACTGCAGGGTTTCTCACATGCATGTGTTTTGTTTTTAATTGGTTGGACTAACTGCTTGGACTAAGCCGTACTGACACTTCTCTAATATGTAAACTAAGATTTGGTCATCTATACAATGCTATAAGGCTATTTCAATTCAAATTAAGAAGAGGGAATCTCCATATAGTACAATACGGCCGTATTGCACCGTATTGCAAGTGTAAACTTGGACAACTTGAAACAATAGAGCACATAATTACAGAGTGCCCGGCCTACAATAGGATGAAACAGCCCTTATGCAAAAATAAAACAGCAAATTGGAATTCACCAATCACCACCAACTATACAAACGCTCCTTATGGAAAAGAATTGCAAGCTATGGCCACCATTACTGAATTTTTTAAAAGAAACAGAAATCCAACTTTAACATATAATGAAACCTGAACTTTAAAAATTCGACAAGACATTCAAATTAAAAGTTTCCTAATTAGTATCCTGCTAACATTCTAAAAAAAAACAAAAAAAAACGGGAAAATTGTACTGATGAAGTAGTGTGATTACATGGTTAGTTAAATCAAGCCAGCTTTACAAGCAAACTAGAAAAGAAGAAGAAGAAGGTCTGTTTACTGTTTCTGTTTGTTTTCTGTTTTGTTTTGGGTTTTGGTTATTATTGTATTGGTTGGATTCGATTATTCTATTCATTCTATCTTCTATCGATCGTGAGGCGTGTGTGCGTTCTCAGTGACAGTAAACGATGATAAATAATACTATTTAATTTATAAGTTACTAAAACTGTGCTATTGATTTTCATGCAGATAATTTAGCTTGTATTTATACATCACACTTCTAAGTTATCTGTTCCGATTAGCAGTAACTTAAATCTTTTATAATTTATAAACATAGCCTACTTAGGCCTTATCAGCAAGTTTCATTGCCGGTATAAATAATTTCCCTATTGTATAAAAAAGTGTGGAACTAACTGAAACAAACAATGTCTTCCAATATTGTTCACTGTCAACTATGGATGGGAGGGGTAAGTGTTATACAAAACGATGCTAGCCTATAACATAATGTGATCAGGTTATGTCATTGCCAAAGGTTATGTTTAAGCATTCACATGATAGATATAAGTTAGGCCCTATTAATTAACTTAAGTTAGGGTAAGTTAGTGGGTGCATTAAGTGTTTTGAAGTTAGGTTAGATTAGGAAGGTATTGTGTAAGTTATAGTTAACAGGGTTTAAAAAAGCTACATCCGTACCGCTTTACCGCAATTGGAATATTGTGTTAGACAACGAGGTTGATGCTTGTATTTTTGAAATTGTCTCGTTGACATTGGATAAGTGCGTGACCAATGTAGTCCTATGCATTAACTTATTGTAATTCGAGTTTTTGGTGGGAAATAAATAAATTAACACATTTACTACCCGGTATATTAGGCTTTTTTGCAAAAATATAGCCCTGCAGCTCATTATAAGTACTGGGCAGTTAAGTTAAAATAGCCCGGCAGCACAGATATACGAGCCTGATGTTAGAATGTCCCCAACCATTGACGATTGGATACTGAAGTAGACTTCCCATCTGTATGGACCAGATGTTGCTAATGTTTTATGAAAATAGAATTTAGTTGGGTGAGCCAGTCACAGAATGCGCTAGTCTCTAAAATTCCATTTTCACCTTATTTTTGGTTGCTGACATAGTTAATTGGCTGTAACAGTTGCTGTAGCTCAAAATTAGTCATTCCATCAGTATGAGTATTACCTGGTAAAAAAGTTCATGTATTTTAATACAGAAATCAGTAATTCATAGCAGCGCAATCTGTCACAACTACATCGATTTTGATTTAAAACTGACGTCAATTTTAAGATGGGGATGATATGTCTAGTTTGGATTAATAGCCAACTAAATAGTTGATTATGAGATCCCGGTCTATTTCAGAGACTTGAAATTTTCGTATGGTGGCGGTATATTTAAATAAGTTACTGTAGTATACTGTATGCTTGGTCTCTGGGTTGTGCTGCCTGTCTATGCTGACAAAAGGCTAGTACATGTCTGCACACCAGGTCTGAGGGAGTGGTCATGGTACACAGGGGAGGAATTTCTTAGAGTTTATGTGGCTACCAGAGTAGGTGGGCCTACATGGCTAGCGAACATGTTAATAATAAAGTATCAATTGCTCAGATGCATATTTCCTGATCATTGCCTGACTGTCCATATACCGTACCTTCAGATCAGTAGATCTAGGTGCTCCTAAAGGCACTGTCCAATATATGTAAGCTACTTCTGAGCAGTGCCTGACCAGTAACATTCGAAGAAGTGCATTAGAAGTAGAAGCACATTCTTTTCAAAGCAATGCTTGTTGGAGTAGTGCTTTTTGAAGAAATGTCATGCATCGATTCATCAAGAATTGAGTACGGTACACAGCTAAGATATCTAAACAGATAATTTCTCAGATAATACAGAAGTGTATGTGATGCCTTTTCTCCTTTTTACGTTTACGTTGTTTCCATTTTTTTGGGAAAACTCTCCACAAAGAGGATGTTTGTCATCAGCCTAGTTTGTAAATTTTATGCGCACAAACTGTTTGCAAATAACTCAGTCCAGTATGGAATTTGTCCAGATTGTTTTCATACAGTTTACAAACATCCTTCAAACAATTTAGAAACATTTGGGAAACAGTAAGCAAACATTTTTCTGCAAATAAATTTCCTGGTGGACAAAGCTTTAGGGAGAGTCAAACTGAGAGCTGATCAAACCTAACAGTATACTCCACAAAAAGCTCAGGCTACTGGTATACCCAAGGCCAAGAATAGAAGTAGGCCTAGTTGTTCTAATCTTGATTCCCAAATCGTAGCACATTTCAGATTAACTACGGTAAATATTATAGTTTTTAGTCGCTAGCTTTTGTTGAATTACACTTCTTAATAGTGTTGTGAGTGAATGTTTGTTTTTTGTTATTACCGATTCCCCATATTCAGCCTCTGGGACTGAAATAGCTTAAGCTTAGCACCTTATGTGACCTCCTACTTCATATTGTCAACCACAGCATCATTTCTGGAGTTTTCCCTGATTGCTATAAGCTATCAAAAGTATTTCCTTTACACAAATCTAACGATTTCATCAATAAAAACAATTATCGCCCATTATCTCTGCTTAGTGTCTTCGCAAAAATAATCGAAAAAATAGTAAAGGATCAAATGGTTTCCTATCTTCAAACAAATGGCATCCTCAGCGAGCGTCAGTACGGGTTTCGTAGAGATAAAAATATTTCAGATGCTTTGTTTGATATAAATAAAGAACTTAATCGCGCTATCTCTGATAAAAATCACCCAATGTTAATATTCCTTGACCTTAAAAAAGCTTTTGATTCTGTTGATCGTGCAAAATTATTAATTAAAATGGAATTATTGGGAATAAGAGGCACCACTCTTAACTGGTTTAAAAGTTATCTTTCTAACAGAACACAGTATGTTTATATATGTGGTGTGAATAGCAGTAGAATGCCTGTAGACTACGGGGTGGTCCAAGGTTCAACTCTCGGGCCAATTTTATTCTTATTATATATAAATAACATCTCAAAATTAACTATTTTTGGTAAAATGTTTTTATTTGCTGACGATACCTTAATTTTCCTTCAGGGAAAGACTTGGCCCGAGGTCCGAGATAAGGCTATGCATGATCGTATGATTGTAAAACGATGGTTGAATCAAAACATACTTTCGCTAAATGTATCTAAGACCAAATTTATGCCAATTTCTATTAGTAAAAGTACTGAATTTAATTTAACTAATTTAATTATTCATAATTGTAATGACTATCGAAGTACTACTTGTTTATGCGAAAGCATCGATAAGGTAGACTCGTACAAATACTTGGGTGTACTTTTTGACGAGCGTTTGAAATGGAATATTCATACTACTTATCTCAGAAACAAAATTCGGAAATATATTTTTGCTTTCAAACAGATGAATGAAATATTATCAATAAAAGAATTAAAAATTGCATACTTTGCTTATGTCCAGTCGCTGCTTTCATTTGGTATTGTTGCGTGGGGTGGATGTTATAAAAGTATTCTTGAACCTTTAAATGTGGCTCAAAAAACCATATTGAAAGTGGGGTTTGGTAAATGCAAACGATACCCGACTGACGCTCTGTTTGGGGAATTGTCCATTCTCACTATTCGACAGTTATTCATCAAGAGCCTATTAATAAACATCTTTAAAAATCACACTAATATTTTTCAAGGAATAACTCACTCCCACAGTACCCGTTACTCCTCACGAGTAGGTATCTCATCACTTCAGATAAACTATACTTTTTCTAAAACAAACTCTTTCTATATTTCTAATGTTCTCTATCGAAATATCTGTAAATATTTTACCAATGATAATCTTTTTGAATTACCATCAATTAATGTTTTCAAATTAAGAATCAAACAATTTCTCTTCAGGCTTGGTATAGATGAGGCCGACGTTATCATCACAGCTGATTACCGGCACGTTTGACCCGAACCTTGCCCCCTCTATCCTGATCCAGCATTAATCCTAGTAGTCTAGTCCCCACCTGTTCAAAACTGTATTCATTGTAGATCTATTCAATTTTACAATTCATTAATCTCCTTTCTAAACTAATAACCTTTAAGCAACAGTCTAAATTCCATTATTCATCCTTTTATAGGCATAATTCCATATAACTTGGTTACTATAAATATTTAAATAGCAACCCAGCAGACGCACAGGCAGCACTTGCCTATGTCTGCTGTATTTCATACAATCAATTTAATTTAGTTTATACAGAAATGTTCTTTTTTATTCTTCGTCTTAGTTTTATTTTGTAAGTATTTTGTATTGAAAAGTGTGTCATTGTTTTCTGTATGTATTATGTGGAAATAAATAAACATTCATTCATTCATTCATTCATTCATTCCATTCATTCATTCATTCATTCATTCACCTTACAAACCACAATCCAGTATATAAGTTCATCAAGAGACTCGGTTTCAGTTTTACACACCGTCTAATTATGCAAGGTATAATTAGGCAACACCATTGACTATTCATAGAACTAGACATTCCATCCCTATGTTAAAGTTTTCACCAATTTTTAATTAATAGATGGACATGGTTGATGTGAGCCACCGACAGATTGCGCTGTTGTTAATTAATGATTTATTAGGAATATACAGGGTTTTAACCTAGTCAAACTGATGGGACGACGTATTGTAAGCCATAGCTTCTGTTATAGCTTACACAAACTATACAAACTATAACAAGTAGGTAAGAAAGAATGAGGACGTAAAACAAGGATTTTAAGCACTAGGCTAGTGGGATCTTTAACTGGCTCCTAGAATTACGCTCTTTTTTAGTAAAAACTTGGCGATAGCTAGTCCATATAGATAGGATTTCTACTTCATTATCCAAAAGTCAATGGTAACACACACCCAGATAGAGTTGTAGACTTTTATTTTGCTATCACAGCAACAAAGTCTGGGTAAAGGCTGTTACATCCCTACTTTGTACAGGTAAATAGGCTATTTCTTTGAAAACGCTTGTTTTTGAATATTTTGAAACAACTATACCCAAAAGGTTTTTAAATAAATAAAGGTTTTAAGTTAAAATGGCAGTTTTAGGCTTATTGAGGTTCATATTGGAATAAAGTTCAGGGTCCTTTTACTCGATACCATAGACCATTTAATTAGGAAATGGTTTGATCTGGCAGATTTCACAATCACACCACTTCAAAAAATACAAAAGATTGTCTCAGGGAAAAAAATAATTGTGAATCAAATATATTTTAGTTCTCTTTAGTTATTTGTTTCCAAGGTGATGAAATTACAAGCCCAAAATTCTTATTCTTAGACCTTAAATTTCTGTCATAATGTGAACAGATAAACCGTTTCAATGGCCACTGCTAAAGAACTAGTTGTGACAGAGACTCAAGCATCAGAGGCAACCAAGAGTCGAACTGAGGATCCCGACACAATCAGCGATCAACGACCATCTGTCTTGGAAAACCACGGATACACCCTTGGAAGAATCATAGGAACAGGCTCATATGCCACTGTGAAACTAGCAAGATCCGAGAGGCACCAGGATCAAGTCGCTATAAAAATTGTTTCCAAGTTTCAAGCTCCTAAAGATTACCTACTCAGGTTCCTTCCTCGAGAAATTGAAGTCGTAAAAGGACTAAGACATCCAAACTTGATTAAATTTTTACAAGCAGTGGAAACGACTCACAGAGTGTATATAGTCATGGAATACGCTGAAAAGGGAAGCCTATTGGATATCATTAGGAAGGAATCCCACATTGATGAGGATCGAGCAAAAAATTGGTTTACCCAGTTAGCAGACGCTGTCCGTTATTGTCATGATCACGGGGTCGTTCATAGAGACGTGAAATGTGAAAATCTCCTCATGGATGGGAGTTACAATTTGAAATTGTCAGATTTCGGGTTTGCTCGTGGCAATATGAAACCTCGCAGTGATGGAAGTCCGGTTTTGAGTGAAACGTTTTGTGGTAGCTACGCGTACGCCTCACCAGAGATTCTGAAAGGAATCGCTTATGACCCGATGCTATCTGACGTGTGGTCGATGGGAGTGGTGCTTTACGCAATGGTATTTGGTAAACTTCCTTTTGATGATACCAATTACAACAAGCTGGTTAAACAGGTTCAATCCAAACTGAAATTCCCCTCAGAACCGGTTGTATCAGAACGGTGCAAGACTATGATTGGGAAGCTTATCGCTCCTCTTAAAACTCGATTGAAAGTCAGCCAGATACCTAAAGAACCATGGCTGCTCGTTTCGACTGACACTGTTGACAAGGAAGTGGTGAAAGTGAATTCAGCCGGATCAGCATGATGAACTACAAGTTTTCCATTTGATAAAAACAAACTTAATCATGTTATTATAGTCTTAACATTTTTAATAAATTTTTCTAAAATTACAAATATGTTAATTCATATCAGTGGCTTATTAAAGTCAATGGATGCATTTAGCATTGGTTGATACTAAAATCTTGAGTCAGGATAAAAAGACTATTTTTAAGAAGAAAAAAAGAAAAGACACTCAACCACAGCAAAAAAAAAACCATACAACATTAATCAATGTTGTAGAGAAGGTATTCCTTGTGACATATTTACTCAGATGATTGTAAGTTTCATCTGCAGTTTTACAAAAATATTCAACTTTTAAACTAGTCAAATCAGATAGTCAGCTGATGTTCCTTGTAGGTTGAATTGGTTGTGTCAATGGTAAGTAGTGTTAAGTTACATCATTGGTAGGCCTACTACTTATAATAATTGGTAAATAGACTATACAATAATGGTCTGATCAGCTGTTTTTACCACCTTTTGAACCTTTGCTGGACATTGTAACAACCCCGATCGAATGCTTCTCATGCACTTTTTTCCCAAGCAATCTAAAACAAATCTCTCTCCCAAATCAAAATGGTCGTTGTTTTATCAATGTTTAAAAAATATTTTCATTTTATTTTAGGTGGAACCTTACATGAATGAGCAATTTATTATGTCTGCCTTCCAACGAATGGGTGAAAAACCTCTGAGCGTGAAAGTAATGAGGAACAAAATTACTGGAGAACTATGTGGCTATTGTTTTGTTCATTTCCAAAACGACGACGAAGCTATTAAAGCTATGCACAAATTAAATGGAAAATTCATCCCCAACTCTAATCCTGTAAGTACCTAACCTGTGTATACTTTGATAAGGGTAACAATGTGCTTTATAAATAGTAATACCATTATCGGTGGTTTGTGTTTTGTTAGGTTACAAATTTTACTGTTGAAATAATTATTAGCAACTTCTCGTACTATTAGAATGTAGTTTTAGTGTACTGGTAACTCTGAAGATGCCACACCCTTTGGCAAAACAAGAACTCAGGGCAACCAACAAAATAAAAGGTAACTTAATTAAAAAGTCCTTGATGGGTAACATTATTAGAAACTTGTCATTTAATACACTATAAATTTTGTCATTCCGTTTTTAAATCCCCATTTGTCCTTTAGTATTAACTCTAATCCTTTGATGACTGTGAATAGCAGGTTCACTACAGAAAGTATTCAGAAGGTTGAAAGGTTGAACCTGAAGCCATCAGCTGTCCCTGATGATTGGGCTAATAAATGGTCCTGGGTAAGAAACAGCTGGTCTTAGTCAGTTTCTCACTCCATTCTACTACGCTCAACCAGCTTGAAACTCATACATAGGTGTTCGTCTCAGCCTTAAACAATGATAAATGATAATTACCGGTATCAATCAAACTTACCGTACAGTCTACTGTCACAGTCATATTTTTCTCTACACTATATTTACATATAACAAACAAGAATGAAATGTGCTAAGTACTACACATGTTTCTTATCTTTGGGCATAAAATGATAGTGTATCTAAACCACTGATATAATTTGCCAGAAAATATCCATGAAATGTGAATTGTGGCTTTAATGAATTTAAAGATAAATCATTTTACTGTCCAATTGTCTCTTTGTAAAATAAAGGAAAAACAACACAACTAAAAATTTGTGTAAAAAACATTAAAATCATTTTCTTAACCAGTGCCTGCTAACAAATACCATATTGGAAACATAATTCAATTTGAGATGAATGTATTAGCATTACTAGGCTAATATGAAATGCAAAACTGTCAATGGTTTAAAATTGTTTCCAAATTTTTTTTCTATTTTACATTAATTGTTACAGTTTTATCTTTGTGGAAATTAATATTACAATACATTTAAGTCGTGATTTTGATGAAATATTTTTCTTTCATGTTATATAGGCCTAGTCAATAAAAGTTTGGTTTTTATTTTCAAAAATTTTTTTTTCTCTGTGTAAAGATTTTAATGATCATATGGTTGTCCAACAGGTGTTGTACAACAGTGTAAATATTTACTATTTTGTTAATAGAAGTCTACAACTTAAATACCTAATTCTGAAAGCAAGATTTATTTTTTTATTTACATTATTTACAGTATTAGGTAATTTGCTAAAAATTGTGTTTTATTAACAATCATAATTTTCAACAGTTAATTTATTGTATCAACAGACTTACTAAGGTAATTTAGACATTGAGAACCAATTTACATAAACATTTTAACTCTTTTGTTTGGGGGTCAGTGTTTGTGATTCTAATTTTAAAGCTTGGTAGTTCACTTTTACTCGTTGTTGGCACAAAATATGAAAACAAATTTATATTTGACCAAGTCTTTAATTCAGGGGATTTAAGTTAAAAACATACACCTTCAGCATGTGTAGGCACATTCATGATTGATAATATGAAATATTCTAAATTTCAATACCTTTTCACATGGTTTCAAATATAGTACCGGTAACCATCAATAATAGGAGTGTGTTTAGTATATTCTTTGTAATGTATGGATTGTTGTTTCCCAACTTAACTCTTCTCTTAAAATTGCAGCCATCTCGATTCCGCCTGAATAACGCAACTTCGAGCGGAAAAATGAACGTGAACATGTTCTCACTCTGGGTTGGAGATTTGTCTCAAGATGTTGACGACTATCAGCTTTACAAAGCTTTCGCTTCACGCTACCAATCAGTCAGAGCTGCCAAAGGTATTACGGAGGTTTATTTTTAGAAGTGACCTAATGCCAGTAGTTTTAGAGATAGCAATCATTCATAAATGCAGCCATATCTGGGTTATGAATGAAATTGATAATTTGTGTAATAAATTAGTCAAGCTTTGTGTGTATATAGCTAATTGTTATTTTGCTGTAGTAGGCCTAGTTTATGGTGTTACTTTGATTGCAATTTGGGGTTGTATTATGATTTGTCAGTAAATGTTGGTAAAAAGTTGGTCTCCACATCTACGCACATTTTCTGTAATAAAGTTTGAAATAAATGCTTCAACTTAAGACATAACCAGATTGTCCATTCTCATTTAAATTTTGTAGCCAGTCTCAAATTAAAATGAGGTTTAGCCAAGTCACCATTGTAGTATGCTGTTGTCAATTGGTATTTTCTGTTGGCGAGTCAGTAGCTCGGTTGGTAGTGCTCAGACTTCGGGCCCAAGACAGCGATGTCGTGGGTTCGGATCCTGGTACCTGCCACTACTTTTATCAACAGTTCACTCTTGTACTGTACCAACTCATCCCTTGCTTTGCTGGATTCTCACCAAACACAGTTCAGAAACCTATGTGGACAGGCAAATGTAAGGTTAAAGAGGATACCGTACAGACCTCTTTTTGAAAAGAAAAAAAATAGGTGCGGTGGTTTCTCAACCAAGCCAGACTGATAGAACAACTTACTATAAACGATTTAATATTTTGTTTCACATATATTTTCATTGTATTGTAAGACAAGAGAAAATACTATTTGGAAGGCAGCCCAATCTGTAAATGGTTCATTAAACTAGGTTTTATTTATTTGAATTTGAATTATGAATTGGATAGCTGGTTCATGTAGTGATTAATTTTACACATTCAAATTTCAATAATGAGAGTTCAATGAAGATAATAGATTTTGAAACAACAATATTTTGCGACATTATTGTACTATCGAAATTGAAAGTTTGACTGTTTATTTTATGTTGCTGTGAAATCGTTTTTTTAATTTTATTTTTGGAATCAGTTTTGCAAAAGCATGATGCTTTTGAATAAGATGAATTTCATTTATTTGTAGAAAATAATTTGTTGAAAGCTATTTTCATAGCTAAATCCAATACTTAAAAAAATACTTTAAGAAAATATCAAACTTTTTGTTGTATTAAAGTTATTATTAGGCCTATATAAGGTTTGTTTAGATTAATATATCATTAAGCAGATATACACAGTTACTTATGGTGACTTTAACTGTTATTCAGCCTGGTTTTTGTTTGGCAGTGGTGATGGACAGTACCGGCCATAAAAAAGGCTACGGGTTTGTCCAGTTTACCAATTTGGAAGAACAAAAGCATGCCTTGACCAACATGAACGGCTTCAAAGGACTTGGAAATAAACCTATCAAGACAAGCACTGCAGTACCCAAATCATATAAGTATCCTGGAAGGTAAGTTTGATAACTGTAGTGTAGACATAATGTTTCTGTATCTACCTTGGCTTATGTAGCCCATATTTTTCAGCTTGCTCTACCAAGGCCCATAACTTCCTCTACCGTGACTCATATTTTTTAACTTACCCTACCTTGGCTCATTTATTTCAACTTGCTCTACTGTGGTCCTTATTTATTCAAATTTATCTACCGTGGCCCATATTTTCAACTTTTTTAACAAGGACCATATTTTTCAACTTTGGCCCCATTTATTTCAACTCGCTCAACCGTGGTCGATGTTATTCAGCTTTATCTACCGTAGCCTATATTTTTTATGACTGGGACGGGTGATGTCGTCCTGTAATCCAGCTACTAGGAGGTCACGAATTGTGGATATTTATAGGCATGCACTGTGGGTGCGGTACTCCCTGGTGTGGATTAACGTCGGCAGGTGTGAGTACTACGACCATCCGCAGTACTATCCTGATCATTAGACCAATTCGTATATACCAAGGAAAAATGTGGTTCGGATTCCACTATAAACTGTAGGTCCCTTAGTTGCCATTAGCTGTATGGGCTATTAATTAACAGCTGTGTCTAAGGAATGTCGGCCTTAGTCACGAACAAGACTACAAGATCGCGCCACTCATCCTACACTCATCTCCTTCATACTTGGCTTAAAATACCTACTATGTATGGTCGCCATTTCATTGAACAGTATTAACAGTATAAATGTGGCCCAGGTATTACTTATTGCTTCCTTTACCCTGGCACAAGGGTCGCTCGCCGTCTCTCCTGATGTTTATCTTCTTCTATTCCCAGTACGTTAGCATTGGCTGGTGGTTACAGTGCTACTCAGGACTATAGCCAGTACTACGACAACCACAACTATTGGCAGAGTTACTCGTCGTGGCAGAGCTACTACGGTGGCTCTTCACCTGGATCACACACCGTTCACTCCAGCATACAGCAAGTACCATTGGAGTCTCAGACGCAGGTGCAAGATGACTTAGAGCTCATCGGTGAGTAAGATTAAGCAACAATTAGCACACAAATTGAATTTTAACTCCACATTTTCACCATGTGAAAAAATACATTTTTGTTTTTATTAGTCTCTTGACTAAATGAATATTTATTTATTTACTGCTACTAAATATTTTTGTTCATGTTCGGTTAGAAAATTTTCAATTTTAAGGCAATTTTCTATATAGAGAAATAAGCTATTAACGTAGGTCTCATAGTAAGACCTGGACCCGGGACCAAATTAATTTTTCGTTTAGATGTATCTAGAGGCCAAAAACACAATCCGCTCAAATTCATATATATGTGTGTCCGATAGCGTGATAACTCGAGCAAAAATGATCCAATTTCAATGAAATTTGGTACAAACCTATAAATTTACGTTTAATCCAAAAGAGTTGAGGAACCAGCATGATCGGATCATGGGAACGGGGTTTTCGATGAAAAATTCGCTTTGTCTGCAGGTTTGCTGCTGTATTTAATTTTATTGTTGACTTTAAATCGTATGATATATTTTAAGCATTCTTTTTATAATATTTGTATATTTGATTATTTGATTCAACACTTGTACTTTTTATTTAGTGAATGGAGAATGATAAGATTTGATTGGACATGTTGGTTTTACAGACCACAACACAACAACCGATGTGGAAGCGTGGAACAGAGAACTGATGGAGCGAGATTACAACCTGTGGGACGCCATGGAGAGTTCCAAGTGGCTTCCGTTGGAAACTTACTGTTAATTTATGACTTAACCCAAATTAAATCTACGTTTAAGAAATCAAAAATTTTTATGTGGGATAAATCATAGCCGTCTCTAGTAATAAGGCCGCGGCCTTCGATGTGGCAACGCCGCGACTCATCCCCACCCTGGTCCAACTCCGGGTATTGCCGCCAGCGTTAAAACGTGCAACATTTCGCCAAAACTGCACTTATTCACGTTGAAAGCTATGAAAATATAACCAGTTCAACAGATTAGTTTTTAGCATGAAATGCCGCTTACAATGTTTCAGATTGTATTACGAAATACTAATTAATAGCCTACATGTTTATATAAACGTATATTCACCACTTAATTCCAACCCTGTATTTATGTTGCGCATAATGCACAAGCGATATACATTTGTAATAAAAACGGAACCATGATTGAACCTAATGAGTTTATGAAAAAAATATACTATTACAAATAGGCCTAGGCTTCTCCTAACATTTTTTGTTATTGTATTATGAACTGGTCGTCTAGTGGTCGAAAACTCAACCAAAAATACGTAATTTTCAGACTTCTCTTTTAACCCACGATGTAAATAAAACATGTTATTGGAATTTCTTTAATTTGTTTTGATATTCT